TGTCAGTGTGTGTCTGTGTGTGTGTGTCTGTGTGTGTGTGCACGCGCGCACACATGAGCAAACACTGTGTGAGTGTGTATATGCATGCCACTGTACACACACAGTCAAGGTTGGACAACAGTCTTTGTGGATTGGTTCTCTCTCCTCCACTAAGTTCTGGGCAAGCTCTTTTACCTGCGGAGCATTCTTGCTACCTGGTTCTTCCAATTCTTGCTAGTGCTAGGATTAAAGGCAGGTAATTAATAGCACACCTAGCTTATTCAGTATTAGGTCAAACCCAGGGCTTCATGAATGCTAGAAAAGCACTCTATCAATTGAGCTATTTCCCCAACTTGTGTTGTTATTTTAGAGACTAAGATTTCCATTCAAACTTCCTACCAAGGCCTCTAGGGTCCCACACAGTGAACCCTTTAGCTCTCTTCCTGGTCTCCTGTTGGCAACAGCACATCCTTGCAGTTCCTGTCCTTTAAATCAAGCATGCACTTCTGCTTGCAGCACTCACCCTGCTCCCCCACCAAACGCACCTCAGAATATCTGCTTAACATGCGTTCTGGGTAGGATGCAGGCACGCGCTCATGTCCATATATGTAAAAGCAGGAACCAGGGGAGGATGGCAGGTGCTCTGTTCTATTGCTCCTTGCTTTAGTCCCCTTGAGACAGGGTCTCTCACCCAACCTGGAGCTTTCCAATATTCAGCTAGACCAGTTGACCTACAAGCCTGAATGATCCTCCATCCCCAATGCTGGGATTATAAGTATGCATGACCACACATGGCTTTTTTTTTTTTAACATGGGTGCTTTGGATTCGAACTCAAGCCATCACACTCGGATAGCAAATGCTATTGAGATCTCTCTCGTGATCAGTGGTTTTCAACCTGTGGGTCAGTCATGACCCCTTTGGGGGTCAAACGGCCCTTTCACAGAGTCACATATCAGACACCCCAGGACTCACTGGGGGACTTACACAACTCTTTTCTGAAAAGACTCTTCTAAAGGTGTTCTTCTTTGTTCCTGCAGGATTCATGGTGGGGTGTCCTAGGGTTTTTCAGAACTGGGGGACTGGCACATCAGCAAACAATAAGTCATAGCCCCCAAAATATCAGACACTTTCACTTTTATTATATCTGTTTAGTAGGGGGTGTGGACACATGCTATGGTGTGTGTAGAGGTCCTAGGACAACCCGAAGGAGTCTGTTCTCAGCTTCTGCCACTTAGGTCACAGGGACTGAAATCAGGTCACCAGACCTGGCGGGAAAGTTCCGTTACCTGTAGAGACATCTCACCAACCCTGAGACACGTGTAGACAGAAAAGTTCCATGAAGGAAAGCACAAACATTTGAAGTTCTTTGCCTCTCCTAAGAACCCTAAAGAGGCACTGGAGAGACGGTTCAGTAATTAAGAGCACTGGCTGCTCCTTCAGAGGACCTGGGTACAATTCCCAGCACCCGCGTGGCAGCTGATAGCCATTTGTAACTCCAGTTCCAGAAGGATCTAATGCCTGCATCTGGTGTCTGTGGGCACAAGCAACACATACGGTAGACAGACATACACATAGATGAAACACTCATGTGCATAAAAATAAATAAATCAAAGAAAAAAGAAAGGCACACTGAACACAGAGAGCAACCTGTGTGTAACGGTGTGTGGAAGATTCCTACTTTGTTAGAAAGGCTTGAAGACACCAGAAGTGGGAGGAGTAAGAGAATGTAGGAGACCTACCCGAGTTAGAAACCCGAGCTTTCTCAGAGAAACTGTCAAGAACAGGGTGATCTCTGTGGTCGTTTTTAATCTCAGCACTTGGGAGGCAGAGGCAAGCAGATCTCTGTGAGTTTCAGGCCAACCAGAACTGCATAGTGAGCCCCTATCTCGATGAAGCAGCAGACAAACAAACACATAAATCTTTTTCCAGAGAAGAGTGGTAACTGACCATAACCACAGCCAGCACTCACCACACACCCCAAGTGTCTCCGCAGCAATGCCCTGAGGCTGTGTTTCCCTGGGAGATCCATTTCCTTTTGTCACATGATCTTGTACTTCAGTTTCTTCATCTTTCAACTAGGAATAATAGTACTGCCTACCTCACACTGGATGAGTGAGGACCCAACCAGTGATTGATGTCTAAGATTAGCTTTGCATAAAAATTTCCCTTATTAGAAACTGAATGATATGCTTCCTTATGTGACTCAAGACATATTTCAAGGACAACATGGCTACAGTTCATCACCAAGGGTTACATATTCCTCCAGGTCATTAGCCAAAGCAGGGGTCTTTGGCAGTATTCCAAGTAGCATGGGAAAAGATGGGCAGGGGCTTAGCAGGAAACAGGGTAAGAGTTTCTATGGGAGAATCACAGCTCCAGGCTTCGATCCATCTGCCTTCAAATAAAAAAATAAAAATTAAAAAAAAACAGAATTCAGGAGAGTTAGATGGTAAAATGTAACCATCAGGATCAGGGGAAGCTGTAGCTGTTAGTTAGTTGTGAGGGCCTCCAGCATGGGTCTTGCAGCTTTGACTAAAGGCTTAGCTAGTTTCCACCCTTTCTATAAATCTGTGCACTGCATCTAAGGAGGACACATCCATTCTGGCTGCGGAAGGAAGCTCTCTGCTTTAGGTGAGGACCCAGAGAACATGTGTACACACTCCCCTCCCTTGGAGAACAATCTGCTTACCAACTTGAGTGTGTGCAGATGCATACACGAGTTTTGTGTGTGGTGGGTGTGAAGGCAATCCTAGGCACCCCTTTTTCTACACTCATTCTTTGTGTAGAAGTTTGATGTTGATCATTAGCATTCCTCCTGCCCTATTTGTCCTCTTAGCTGCTTGTCCCAGTAGGGAGTGGTGTGGATATCTGACTCTACACAGCTCCTGTGTCTTAAACCTTCTAGGAGGCACTCTCCGCAGTCCTGCTCCCGGGAAATCCTTTAGGGTTTGTAAAATGTAGCATCAAAAGACTTCAAATCATATATGTGTGGTTGCTCGTATTTGTAGCCCCAACATTAGGGAGGCCACATAGTGACTTCAGAGAAGCCTGAGTTGCAGGGTGAAACTCTGTGCCAAAACCCCAACAACCTAGATTTGCGTTAAACACTTCAAAAACTGCCTTGGGGGGAGTGTTTTGGGGGGATGTTCCAGGGTATCTGAAGTGCTCTTATCAAGCAGAACAATCCTCTGCACTGGGAATTATGAGTCCGCCCCCCACACCCATCCATCCACCCACCCATCTACCCATCTACTCATCCATGTACTCACTCTACCCACTCGTCTAATTCAAGAATTTAGACACTAACGCAAGCCTTTACTGAGACAGCTGCTTGCCGGCCAACTGGGCACTGTGTTCTCAAAGACAAATAAGGCAGCCCCTTGCCTTACGCAGCATGCTTCCTGAAGCCCAGACGACAGAAGTCAGAACCCACATGTAGAGAAAAGGCTGCAAGAGAAAACATAAAAGGAGCATTAAAAGGAGACAGAAAGCCAGAAGGAGAAGGAGAGGCAGGAGACACCTCTGTCAGAAGTGGCTAAAGATCTGCAGAGACTTGCAGTAATTTCACTGTTGTTTTCTCCTACATCTCAGATCAAAATTTTAAAAAAAGTGCTTGTTTTCCATGGGTGGTAGGTATAGTAAAACCTAGGCTTTTAAATATTTAGCCTAAGTTCTGTGTTTTCTTCAGCATCTCCCGCAGGCTCGAGGATACCCCATAGAGGGCGCTGTTTGCTTGACTTTGTATGGCGTGGTGGTGCCGGAAAGTGGATGGACCCAGCCTCTCCTGAGAGGAAGTGAATTGCTGTCCAGGCAACCAAGACGCGAGCTTTCTCGAACAGGAAAGGAAAGATAAACTCTACCCTTTCTGTTGTTGAAGTCCAGCTGGGGATGTTGACGCCAAATAACGGAACCCCACCTCTCGTGAACACACACATTCGCACACACTCTAGTGCCCTTTAGGAAAGGGATACTATGCTAATGCTGGATCGGGCCCGAGACCGAGAAGGTTGCCTCCTACTCTTTTGGGTCGGTACACCTAGGCCCAGAGTTGTGAACCGCTAGAAGTCCACTTCCTGGGACAGAACATCTTCCACGCCTGTGGGCTCATGAGAATCTATTTTTTTGTTATTGTTTTTTGAGACACGGTGATTGAACACACGACTTCGCAGGGTAGGCAGAGGATAGGGTAGGCACTGACTCACAACGACCGACTGCCTTTCGGAGTAATGGGAAGTGTTTTCCCCTTTCCCTAGTTTAAAGTAGCCTCCCTGCGTCAGAACTTTAGCGAGTGTGCCCACCTCTGTCTGCCTCAGCTTCCCCCCAGACCGGCACACTAATGGGCCACCAGGTTTGCTGTGTGCAAGCAGTGCGCACCGAACTCACTTCGCCTATGCGCAGAGAATGATTTCTGCCTTGTGGGGGAGGGAAATGACCTCTAGTTGTCCAACACTGGTTGGGTGCCTTAGGTATGGTCTCCTCTCTGGATACCTTTTCTCTATAAAATCTGAGCGTATTACCCATCCTGTTTGAGCCACCGAGCTGTGATTGGTTCCCACTCGAATATTTGATGATGTGCCCTTGTGCATTCCAGCAAAACCTTGTACAAACTCAGAGGAATAATAATAACCATTTTTGGAAGCGCTGCTTACAAGGCAAATGAAGGGTTCGCTACTGTGGGGTGAATGTCAAAACTTTGAACACGCCCGTCGAGATTTGGTAGAGGGTGCTCAGGAGCCCGAGGACTGAAAAATAAAATAAACCTATTTCCCATTTGGGGACCCCAAAACGGTCAGGTCTGCACTAGGGAAGACAGGCTTGAATTAAGCAAGACTCAACCAAAAGAAAAAGAAAGGGGTGGGGCGGAGAAATCTCAGGTGTGAAGGGAGCTTCACCACGGTTGAGGACAGACTGTTCATCTTTTTCGGGTTAAAGACCCCACCAACAATTCTGTTTTATTTGTCGCTGAAATCTATAACTGAACTGCTTGTCTCTCGGGCTTCCTTTCCTGCTGTTAAAGCGGATGGAGTCCAACTATTCCTCGGACGACCGCCTTGGTTCTCCAGGGACTTGGAGGCCCTTGGGGCGTGCCGCAGGTGTCGCTGCCACGGTGACAACCGAGAAAGGTACTCCGCTGTGCCTTCGGTTCTCAGAGCCTGTATTAAAGCATTAGGTAGCTTCTAAACGCCACCCGGAAACTTCCTGGGGAAGTGCTGTCTTCGGACTGCAGGTTTGGAGTCGGTCCCTGAGCCTTGGCCACGGTCATTCAGAAAAGAGTAGTGTCCTTCGGAGTGCAGCCTTCCCTGCAGGAATATCGCTACCCCGACCGTCTTACGTGGGGGAAGCGCGGGCGTCGGAGGGTCCTTCGTTCTCAAAAGAGTGCAGAGTCGCAGATTCTCTCCTACTCCAGGGAGATTCAGATTGTCTCTTCGGTTCTCAGGGCCAAAGGTCAAGGCTACGCGGATTCCCGAGCCCACCGACATAAGAACTCTCTTCCTTTCCACTGGACGGTGGGTGGAGAACCCTAATTCCCCTCTTCTTGCCCTCTCCCTGTTTAGCAGGTCTTTTGGGGAAAGAGCACTGAGTTCGTCCCTGACCGAGGTGGCACCCTGCTTCCTGGGCCCGCGTGGGGACAGCTGGCCCCTGCGGTGCCGGGAGGGGTAAGAGAGCGGAGGCGGTCAGCCCAGCGCGTGTAACCCCGAGGTGACTCGGGCCAGCCTGGCCTGCCCCTCCCCCTCCCGCGGGCCCCGCCGCAGCAAACCCTAGG